CAGGCACAGGAAGTTCATTATACTTTATTATGCTGTTTCTATATATTTAGCAAAAAGCTAAAAAACAAAACCAAAATCCCTGCACTCACATGAATAAATATTAATGAAGTATTAATGAATGACAGATACTCTCCAGCATTACTGCAGGAATTTTTGAACTAAGAAGAGAAAGGAAGAAAAAGAAACAGTTACAAGCCCCTTGCGGTTAACAGAGTTTTAAAATTTAATTCTCATGATAAGTATGTGATAATTTATCCCCATTATACAGATAGGGAAACTGAAGCTCAATGAGGGTAAGCACCTTGCCAGCGAAAGAGCCAGAATGGGAACCCTGTCCAACTCCTCCTGTACAGTTAGTTCATGGTCGTTTCTGACTTTCTACCCAATCAGCAAGCTGGGGACAAGGACTCCCACCTGGACTTGGAGGCAGGTGGGTACAGCCTCAAGAAACCTGAGCAGCATAGAATGTACAATGCTTTCATTTGCATTTCTAGTCCCTAAGTACCGAGTAAGGTTCTGCCTGGGCTTCCTCTTCCTTCTACACACAGAGTTATGATAACGATTTGGCACAGAGTTCAGGCCGGGCTTGGGCTGCCGACAAATACGTCATCATCAACTGTGAGCGTGCCACATCAACAGCCATCCAAGCTCTGCCAACATCCAAACAGATTCAACCTTAGGGATGTAGAGGCATCGAATGCTGCCAGTAATGAGAGGCCACCTTGAGTGTGTCCCTTCCTGGCCAGGGTGTCACTTTGACAGATGTCAAACTTAGCTTCACTAGAGATGGGCCCCTTATGGAAATGGAAAGCTGCTGTCATTTCTGATTGCAGATTCTCCCAGCCAAAAAAGCACACAGTGCTCAGGGAGGTGCCAAATGTGGGGAAATATGGGCAACTTCCCTGCTGTTCACAAGCACTAATGTCCCAGTGCCCAGCAGAGGCTGTGGCTGCTGCCAAACACAGCATTCCTTTAGGGCCCATTTGGTGCTAAATAAAAACTCTCCCCACTATTATAAATCTGAATCAGAATCTCTGCTTATACCGTTGAATTTTTACCCATCTGTACTCCCTGTTGGCTTCATCAAAACTGGCCCCAAGGACACATTATCAGGATCCGGGTGATTAGGTCCTCAAGAAATAAATAGCTTGACATCTAGTCCAGAAAGTTAATTACTAACACAATTATCAAAAAAACTTTCCCCCCCCCCAAGGTTAGATCAAGCATCTTTGTGGGCAGGTTATCTCTCTGGTTTGTTTGTTCTCTGGGTGACATGTAATTAACACTTACATACAATGCATTTTTTGACTTTTTAAAGCCAAACATAAATATCTACATAGCTCTTCTGTCTATAGAATATTTCATTAAGCCCCCCCAAAATCCACCCACAAGATTTAAAATGAAACCAAATCTTAAACTAATTCATCAAACAAACTCTCCTTACTGAGGGCTGTTTCCTATGTGACTTTGTCAACATAATATACATCCTGCTATTTCTGCCCTTCTAGAATACTTTAGGCTTCTACATGTTACAATTTCCTCTATTTTTGGTGGATCTTTCCTTCTGAAGACATCTCCCATTCTATAAGGTCCTCAGACCCAAAGGAGGCAGTTTATGTAACTGGTCCAAGGCAGAATTGGAAGTCTAGAAATAGACCTAAAATTCATAAGTGATAAAACAGAGTGTTATGGATTGAAAGCCATGGTTTTACAATAAAGTGAGCTACCATCAGAAGTTGAATCTATGCTAAGCTGACCACTGAGAAAGGGAATTTCAAATAAATCACGAGCGTCACATGCCCGGCCTACGTGATGGATAATCTCAAAACTTCTAGACTCCTGAAGCATGTGAGAGACATGTGAAACATCCCGCAAAAACTAACCTGATCTTCAGTAGTTTGGAAATTCCCCTTTACTGCTACAACTTGCCTGGAATTTCACAGAAAGAAAATCTGAATGCCAATTTGAGATCTTTTTTTTTTTTTCTCACTAACTACAATTTAAAGAATGAACAGTCAACTTCCAGCCTGGCTTGAATTAGCTCCCATCAATTTTACCCACCACCAAGTTCTTACACCTTTGATGAGAACTAATTAAGCTCATGTGGTGTTTTTTTCCCCCAGACTGCCTTTTGCTGTTCTGGAACAGAGCACACCAAATTAGGCCCATCTGTCTAAATGGGAAGGAGGTCATTTATCCCACGGACAGGCAGGCTTCCTTTACAATCTAGAAGCTGCCTCCCAGGTTTCTGAACACCATGGGATGAAGGGTTACCCCAACTCTTGATTAGCTGGCATTTTAAGAGCAGTTTAATGTTGTATCATCATCTTCCAATTCACAGCCATCATTTCCTTGTGCAGTGAGCTATTCGAGGAGATCAGCTACCACATTAGCATCTCAGGTCAAAACTGCAACATCAAGAATTAGGGGGCTGGGGCCAGGTGTGGTGGTACATGCCTATAATCCCAGTGACTACTTGGGAGGTTGAGGCAGGAGGACAATAAGTTTAAGACCAGCTTCAGCAACTTAGCGAGGTCCTAAGCAATTTAGTAAAACCCAGTCTTAAAATGGAAAAAAATATATAGGGGGGCTGGGGATGTGGCTTGGTGGTTAAGAGCTCCTGGGTTCAATCCCTGTTACCAAAAAAAAAAAAAAAAAAAAAAAAAAAAATTAAAGAGGTGGGGGTAGGGGGCTTGACTAGCACGTACTGAGGCCCTGGGTTTGATTCACAGCACCATAAAAATAAATAAATAAAGTACAATATTTAAGTTATTGTTCTGTGGCAATACTGCTGACATGAAAGTATGTTTTCATTTAACTATGTCCCAACAAGGGAGACTAGTTATTTTAGCAGGGCACAGGAGTCTTTTGACACATGAGGTCACTTTCTTACAAAGAAAGAAATAACCTGGCCATTCACACATGCCAAAGGACAAAGTTACAGTGGGAAAAAAAAAATCCCTTGGCAACAATGATGCCCATGAGCCTGCCTGGGCCAAGGTGTCGGGCTCCTGGGACAGTCAAGGCTTTCTGCCATCCACTGACACTTCTCAGCCTCCACTGACTTTATTAAACTAATGCCCATCCCTGTGGACTACTAAATTGGTAAATGAGAAGCAAAGAGCATGAACTCATATTTGGCAGTCATGATATAACATCACTCCTGACTCCAGGACTCTTTTCTTAGGTTGAGTTGAGGAAAGAAATTAACATGCACAAGGACTTCAAGTGCATAGTTAGGTGGAAACACACCATGATCACTTATGGAATATATATCAATGGTATCCAACTACTTGTTGGGTCCCATCTAGACTGAGAACCCTTTTATATAACATGAGAACAAGTATTAATAAAAAGAATCAGGGCTGGGGATATAGCTCAGTTGGTAGAGTGCTTGCCTCACATGCACAAGGCTCAATTGGTAGAGTTCTTGCCTCATATGCACAATCCCCAGCACCACAAAAAAGAAAGAAAGTAAGAATCACTTGTTCTTCATTAGTTCTAAATTAGTCACATAATTCTTTTTTTTTTCAGTTCTTACCCTATGTAGATTTATTTAAAAAATATATTTTTTAAAGTTGACGATGGACCTTTATTTTATTTATTTATATGGTGCTGAGATTTGAACCTGGGGCCTCACACATGTCAGGCATGCGCTCTATGGCTGAGCCAAAACACCAGTCCCTACAAAAAAAAAAAAAAAAAAAAAATTTAACAGGACAAATAAGGCTTCAATTCATTCAGTATTTGTTAAACAGTTTTTAAAGACAAAGGGATGCTGTCATTCCAAAGAGGTCCATGCAGCCTCTTGCTATATTAGAGGATCCAAAGGAGTTATCTGGATGAGTAAATACAGAGGGCTGAGCCTTTTCTTCTGCCACCATAGGAGGCCCTGAGGCACATATAGTAAATGAAACAATTTGAAAAGCATGAATCTAAAATGAAGCCAATATGCAGCAAATTTAATTGATAAGTACAAAAGTCTCCATAAGTTATTTAATTGCAAACATAAAATAAGGGAACACCAGCATACACTGAGATTATATAGAGTTCCTAAGCTATTTATTTATTTATTTATTTGGGGGGCATGCCAGGGATTGAACTCAGGGGCACTCTACCATTGAGCCACATCCCCAGCCCTACTTTGTATTTTATTTAGAGACAGGGTCTCACTGAGTTGCTTAGCACCTCACTTTTGCTGAAGCTAGCTTTGAACTTGAGATCCTCCTGCCTCAGCCTCCTGAGCTACTGGGATTACAGGTATGTGCCACCATGCTTATTTATTTACTATTTATCACAAAGCTCAAATGCTCCACTCATGATACATGTAAAGGTCTTTACAAAGCAGCCCAATGAATTTCAACACCCCTAGGTGAGAGGAGAGACTAGAGTCACAAAAGATGGTGATCACAAAGAGATCTCAATGATGTGGAAGAAGAACTATAAAAAAGCCAGATATGATATATATCAGGATTATATTGCTGATTTTAAAATGTCCAGAGAAACTCTGATAGCCCACCTCTAAAACACCAGGTTTTATCACCAGATGAGAGGTTGGTGATTTCTTGCTTCTTTAAATTTTTATTTTCTTTTTTAAAAATGGAAAAGGAAGAAAAGAAAAATGAAAGGGAAGAGAGAAAAGAACTTGCCCAGACACCCCCAAGAGTCAATAAAAATGCAGTACACACTGGTCAATAGTAAAATCATCTTTGTCCCCAAGTTTAAAAAATGAAAATAAAACAAAACAAAACAAACAACAACAACAACAAAAAAAAAAACAAAAAAAAAAACAGTCTTTTAATGACTGCGCAGATTTGGTCATACTGCTTCTGCCAACACTTATTCAATTTAATACCTGCAGACAAACTGGGCTGCTCTTTTGGGATCTGAATTTTTTTTAAAGGACAAGAATAAGGAGCCTGCAGATGGATGCCCCAGGAACAGCTAAAAGAATGGGAACCACCGTCTCAGCAGGACATACTTCCAGGGCCACCACTCACCACATCCAGGTCCTGGGAAACCCTCCGTTTCCGCAGCTCCTCCATCCTCTCACACACGTCTGAGAAGCAGGTATTGTAATAGTCTGCATACTGCTGGGCCAGGTCGTCGATATTTCCCAGTGACCCATCCTGAGGGGGAGGAGGGCGGGGAAAAAGAGACAGGAAAAGAACAAAGGTGGTCAGGTCAGGTCAAGTCAGTTCACCTTGGAAAAGCCCCACGGCCATCTGATCGCCCTCTACACAGCATTTCGATTAAGACCTGTGACGTGGGCCAGGCTAGGTTTTACATGTGGGAGCTAATCCTCAGGGAGGGCAGCCCTCTGAGATGGAATCTGTTCTTTTCCTCCTTGTATCAATGAGTAAACAGGAAAGAAGGTGAGTGACTGCCCCTGGATCCCAGGGCCCACAAGCAAAGATGCCAGGTCTCCAACCCCTGGGCCTCCTGGTGCCAAAGCCATGGCATCAGCCCCACCTCTCTTGGAGAGGTGAGAGGCCAAGACATCGGGTGAGTGACAGGCTCCTTGCCACTCAGTTGTGGTCAGGGCCACATCAGCACCTCTAGGAAGTTTAGGAAAGAGACAGATGCCAGGCCCTCCTCTCCGCCATTCTGAATAAAGCCTGAGAACTCAGGTATCCACAGGATGCTGCATCTGGGATGTACTTCAGACCCTCCCAAAAGACCCTGGGAAAAGTGGAAAACCTTCTTCAGCAGTCATCAGGGCTCATTAGTATTCATCATTCCGTACTGTAGTCATTAATATTCATATTATTCATCAAACTTATTATTCATGAGCCATTCCAAGTACAGGTGCAAGAAATTCAGTAAAAGCATCGCTTGTCCCTTCCTGGAAGCAGGTGCATAGGTGGTAGCCCAGAAGTTTATACCAGCTCTACAGCCCCACACTGGTTAAGTGGCCTCAGCGTCACCACTCACCCTGCCAGTGACACTGGAGTAGTTGACAGCACCTACCTAGCAGTGAACACTAAGGGAAAAGCTTGTGTGCCGTGGGTAGGCTGCCAGGCATATAGGGAGTAATAGAAAGGGATGTAGCTAATGTCATTCACCACAAGAGAACGTCTCATACTGCGGCCTCCTTGAGGAAGTCATTTCCTCAACAGGTCTGAAAATACAGAGAGCGGACAGAGATTCTTCTTCTATCAATCCATCTATTCAGGAAGACACTGCCTCTCCTCTGCCCCCTTTTAATCCCCTCTCCCTCTGGTATGAATAAATGACTTTAACAACACAACCAAGTAACATGATTTGACCAAAACAAATAACCAAGTTGTATTTTAACTTCCAGATGACTGAAAAATGCACCCACATTCTCCACTGCTCTCCAGCCCCTCCATAATGCTGGTTCCTTCATGACAGCAACACATCTAGCTCTGCAAAAAGCAGCCTTAGACGTAAGCATTCATGAGGGTAAGATTCATCCAAAGTCTGTCTGGTAAAACCTAAGCCTGTCAGATCTGGGTCACAGCAGGCAAGAGTCACACCCCACTTCTGCATTCCCTGGGTTTTAGGAACTAAGGGGAGAGGAGAAACAGAAATTAAAAGAAATGATTTTTTAGAAATGCTTCTTGCTTTCCCATTACTAACATGTTCTGCATTTCAGGTAGGTGCCTCAAAGTTCCTAGTAGAGAGCTGGAGAAAAGACAGACTCTCGCAAGGCCAGTAAGATCTTTGAAGGTTTAAACATGCCTGGGCAAAAGTCATTCTCTCTCCGCAGTCGGCCTGAGATGACAGGCTAGACACAGCAAAGGAGGCGGGAGCCCACCCTTCCCGTGTTCACTGTCAAGTTTCCAGTAGGGAAATAACATCAGCCAAGACAGGACTTTGCTGTGGACCTCAGAGGTCACCTGTCAGCCCACCCTTCGTCTATTGGCCCAGTGAAGAAACTGACTGAAGGCAGAATCTCCAGGGAGAGCGGGAGCTGGCGAGAATGTCTTAAGATGGGGTTTCTGAAATACAGCATGATAAATCAAAGTAAGATCCCAGATTGCCCTGACTTGTCTCAACACAACCACACAGGCCTGTGGGCCCTGGGAGGAACTTCTGCAACCTCCCAGCTGGATTTTTTGTCTCTTTCTTCACCTGCCCAATTTGCCCTTGACCCAGCCACCTTCACCTTGCCCAGTAGAGATCTGACCAGGTCTCCCTCCACCAAGAAACCTCCATGCCATCCCCATCACACACTCTGTGAAATAAATCCCAAGTGTACCAGCCCAGCTTTCATTCCCCTTCACCTCTGGTTCCCTGTCCAAGTTGGGTCAAAAAAAAAAAAAAAAAATCCTGAGGCCTATAGACTGGACAGGACCTGGATAGCAACAGGCAGCTTCTCCAGCAGGGGAGGGAGGCACAAAGCAGACCCTCACCCCACACCTCTCATCTCACCATCTGCATCCAATGCACAAATGCCCCAGGAGATTGGAGGCAACTTGCTGGAGGAACTTTAGGAGACAGGAAGGCAAAAGAGCAGTTTCCATGGCAGCATCTGTTCTGACCACTCAAGGAGAGGACTCAAGTCCGTGGATGCCCTGGTTATTCTAGAAGCACCTAAGCAGGTTCTAGGACAAAGGGAGCAGGGTGCCCTTTGACTTCAGAATATCAGCCTTCTATAAGCCAGGAGTTTGCTTACACTGTGAAAGAGCAAAGCCCTCACCATCCCTGTTCGGTGCAGCACCTCCTCTTTTCTTAGCAGGTACTAGAAAGATAAAGAAGTGCCCTTTGCAGTGTGTGTGTGTGGTGGAGGAGAACAGGTCTTGTAACAACTATACCCAAGAATCTGCTTTTATGAGTTATATCCCTGATCCTCACCACAACAAGGGTCCCTGGAAGATCCTGGGCTATTCAGAGTTTTCTTAGTCTCTCAGGAATATAATGCTATCCCCATCCAGAAACTTCTGTCTTCATCCATCAGGGAAACAGACCATCCACATCTCCTAATACCCAAGTGTGCTTCCTAAAGAGGTTGCATTATACATATCTTGCGGCTCACTGTTCTTCAATGGAAATCAATCCCTCTCTCCCCCACACAACCACGAGTTGTGCTGTCCAAGCCAAAGCACTTCCACCTAGAATTCTGGCTTTTCTCAGAAATTACCAGTTTTCACATTTGTGTACTGTATGACCTGTCACAACTGACTATTTTCTTGGAATAATCCAGGCCACTAGAACCGTATTAGAAGACAATTATTTACATAGCTGTGTTCAGCCACTTTGGCCCCCTTTTCTCTCTTCTCTCATATATCTTAGAGACACCTTCAAAGTCAGCTCTTCATTTCAGTTTCAAAGTTTGCCATCTACTGATCATTTTTCCTACCAGTGCCAAATTTGAATTCCCTCTCTCACTCTGAATCACTCAAAACTCCCTCAGTAATTTGAGGGCCTGAAAAACATACCGGTTTCGCATGAGGAGGAAAGCAGCTGTTCAACCCAAGCGAGGCCAAAGACAGCCAATATTTCACTCCCTCAATATGGCGCCGTGGCCACTCCTCACTTGGCGCTCAGCGGGTAATAATTTAGAGCGGGGTAGCACAGCTGCCTTTACGTTGTCCCAAATCACTTTCCAGATGTGCAGTAAGCCCCCATAATTGCCACTTTCGTCCATCTTGATGATTTAAATGCCAAAAAAGGCAAAAGAATAAAAGAATGTGTGTGCCTGTGCTTTGAAGAGTAAGTTTTGTCTGCCATCCTCTTAAAAAGTCCTGTTGTGTCCCAATCAAATGAAACCAGTGAATGACCTGGTGATTTTTTTCTTTATCCATTCAAACTCTAGCCTCTTAAAGAAGAAAAATAATAATTAAGAGGGTGAGAGGAAACATTGGCAGATGATAAGTGTTTTGGTGTTGATGATAGTGATGATTTCAGTGGTATGTACTTATCCCCAGGCTTACTGAGTTGTAAACATTAAGTATGCACAGCTTCTTATATGTCCATGTTCTTTCAGGTAGTTTTTCAAAAAAACCATCAATCCCATGCTTTTTCAGAACCATCTAGCAATCTTGGCATCATTTTCATCCAACTTGTTTTTATTTGAGATAGGTACAGACCCACTCAGTGAAAACATTTACTCCCACTGAAAGTATGTGCAACATGAGTCTGTAGGGAATTTGAATAATGCAGATAATATTTCAAAAGCATCATACTTATTGCATCTTTCTTTCAGGAATGTAAAATCTATGTCTGACTCCACACTCCACAATGCTAATGCATTGGTGTAGCAAAATAAACTCTAATATAACTTTAAGTCACCTCTCCATTCACCATAATAAATACCTTTTTTTTTTTTTTTTTTTTTTTTTGAGACAGGGTCTCACCAAGTTGCCTAACCTGGCCTTGAGCTTATGATCCTCCTGCCTCAGCCTCCCAAGTAATTCAAATTACAGGCACTCACCACTGTGCCTGGCAAAAACACTACAATTAAAACACTGAAACAGATTCCATTTTAAACCTTTTCTTTTAAGGATTCGAAGCTTCTGGGCTAGAGGTTATTACTTGCCTCATCTGTTTCACTTCTTTATTACTTTTCCCTTTTCGTTCTCAGGCATTAGGCATGAGCCAAAATTTAGGAACAAAGGAAAAATGTGATTTCCTCAAAAGTTTTTTTTTTCCAAGTAGATTTTGAAACTTTGAGTCACGTTATCTGTTTACAAGACTTTCCCACTCCTGTCTTTAAAAACAAGAAATGAGATACATGGAGATGCAAGTTCTCTTTCCTTTTCTCATTACAGAACTAGGTCGCTGCACCAGTACTATGACTGTCCACCGCACTTGGTGCATGAGAATTAAATCTTGGCCCTAACGATCAGTGTCAGCTGTGGAAGCCACACTGTGTAGCTTTCCCCTCCAGGCCACAGGGCACATTTACACCCAAACTCATCTTTCATACAATCAACATAAAAAATAGGGGATAAGGGGCATTGAACCAAACAGTTCACATCAGGAGGACTGATGTTACAATTAAGGAGGAAAGAAATGGCATTGTTCTCCCAACAATTGGTTTAACAGCGTTTCTGAGATTTATCCCAATGCACTTCTGTCTCTGGAAAATGTGAAAATTCGGAAGACAGAAGGCATGGGTATCATTACTCTTTTTACTTTTGCTCTCTTCTTTTCCCAGATG